TGGGTTCCATGTGCCAAATATCTGGGAAAATAATTATGGGCATGCCCACATATAATAAACATGGGACCCATATGTCAATTACCTGGGAAAGTAAATATGGGAGGCCCATATCTAATCTAAATGGAGCCCATATGCCAAATATAAGGGAAGTTACATATTGGCATGCCCTTATTTAATTTGCATGGGACCCATATGCCAAATAACTGGGCATATAATTATGGGAATGCCCACACTTAATCCACATGGGTTCAATGTGCCAAATATCTGGGAAAATACATATTGGCATGCCCATGTTCAGTCTACATGGGCACCACATGCCAAATAACTGGGCAGATAATTATGGGAATTCCCACATTAATCTACACGGAGCCCATGTGCCAAATATCTGGGAAAATAAATACGGACATGCTCTTGTTCAATCTACACGGACCCCATATACCGAATAACTGGGCGGATAGTTATGGAAATAATACCCGCATTTACTCCACATGGGGCCCATGTGTTAATAGCTGGGGAAATACATGGGCTTAAGCTAGTGTTTAATTTACATATTTACATATGCCAAATAAAGGGAAGATAACCTTGGGAATGGCCACATTTAATCTACATGTGACCCATATACCAAATATCTGGGAAAATTCATGTCCATGTGCAATCTACATGGGTCCAATATGCTAAATTCCTATATGCCAAATTCCCATAGGGCCTAATGTGTCAAATATATAGGAAATAATATTTGTGCCTGTGTTTACTCTACATATATAGCCCCATATGCCAAAGTAACTGGGCAGATAGCTGTAGGAATATGTACGCCACATGGGGCCCATGTGCCAAACATCTGGGAAAATGCATGGCCATTCTTATGTTCATTGTACATGGGCCCCACATGCCACATACCTGGGCAGATAATTATGCCCTGGATTCCCCTTTGACCAACTGTTAATTATACTTTATTTTTAAGACGTGACATGAATGCTCCATTGCGGTACTTTTTACTTAATAAGTGTGTGCGCATGCTCAGTAGAAATACCAGTTTGAATGAAGCTAGCTAGCGATGATCGGACCATCGGACTTAAGCCAATGAACTAGCTGTCTTGGCAGTTCCGGTGTCCCGTTTCAAGTTTTGAATTCACAAACGAAGCGCCCATTCTAGTGCCGTCGCCTTGTAGCGAGTGTAAAGGAAGGAATTTCATAGGCCTAAGAAAATTTGCCAAGTCACAGTGAAGTAAAAGTAAGTAATTTATACTTGTGTATAACTGTTGTTGAATTCCCCAACTATAATACTACTGTGCTAGGCCTAATTCGCGGCCAAAACCATTGCAT